CAAACTACAAAAAATGTCATGAAATCCATTCAGCAAAGAATGACATGCTATTATGTACTGAGCTGACCTGGACTGAAATTCTTGACACAGCAGGGTGAATCCTTCGATTGTATCTCCAACTTTTCCTCATTTGAACAGCAGCACTGAGTCTCAGTGTCATACTGGCTGTGACCGCAGCACTCATGGTGACGGGAATTCCTCACCAGAATTGTCTTATTATCAGCTGGACCACAACACAACTGCTTGTCCTTATCAAAAACATCTGTGGAAAAGATCATTGTCTTTTTTTTTTTTTGACTTCAAATATAACTCAACTGAGAAGCTGCTCCAATATCCTCAAAATGTTTGAATGGAGTACATTTCACAGAAATTTAATTTAGTCTTCTTTTCCAACTGTGTGTCTGCTCACCTTTACCACAGCATTCAGCCATTGGTCCACGTTTTGATATGATGGTTGATTGACAACATATTTCATTGATTGGGTTGTACACCTTTAGGTCACAGCACTTGGACACCTTTTCACTCAGACCCTGAGTAACACTGGCTGTTAAAACAAGACACAATCACTAGAACCACTGTCTAAAATCAGTACCAGAAAGTCCACAAGTTTAAAGAGAACAAAAAAGTTCAGTCTAGTGTGGTATTTTCATTTTTAGTTGAGCAGCACTGAGTCACTGGAAACCTAGAACAAAATATGAGCTGGATGAGCTTTGATGTCCACTCAAAAAAAAACTGGGAAAAATTATAAAAATGGATAGGCATATCCAATTTGACCTCAGGACTTCGAGGCCATAATCAGCACAAATGTTTCTGTATACTATGCCGGCCACTTGGTTATGGCATTCCACGTACGACCTGCCTGCTAGCATCTTGCACCCTGTTGTTATGTGCTGATGGCTCAGAGGCATCTTTGCATAGTCTGCAAGTCTGCACCTGGGGTCTTACCTGGTGTGGTAGATCCCAACCTACCAGGTTGGGGTTCCAAGATGCTAGCAGGAAGGGCTAGCATCTTGGAATGCCATAACCAGCTGACTAGCATAGTATACATATACAGGGACATGCAGAGATAAATGTAGCTATAACAAATGTTGACAACATCAGGAAGAAACATGAGAAACTTGAGAAATACCAAGTGCTGAAAGAGGAGAGAGGACATGGAACCAAAACCCAGTTTATATGTTCTCTGGAGAACATTAAAGTTCCACACAGAAAGGCCCTAGCCAGATGTTGGATGTTGGACCTTCTTACTCCTAGACAACAGTGCTAAACACTGTGCTATTGTGCTTCCTTTCAGTCTAAATTGGTACAATTCAACTCCAGTTTTAGTTATGTAGCTAGTTCATAAATTATTACCTGTGATGTTGTGTTTACAACAAGTGGCTGTTTCAGGATTGTAAGGCTCATTTCCACAACAAGACAAACTTCCACCTGGGTGAAGTCTGTTTCCACAGCAAGTAGCCTCTTGGATGTCATACACTGTTCCATCACAGTCTTTTCTGAAAAGCGAAGATAACCAAACCCAGGATATCAACACTGACAGTCATTTTCACAGACATAAAAGTACATATATATATTAACTATAATCATCACATCATCTGAACAGTCAAATCTGTACAGATTTCCTCATTTTTGCTTTATTATACTGCCCTCTGATGGAAAACATGTTAACGTCTACATACAACTAGACCATCGGTGTGCAAATAGATGCACTGCTTAGCTACAATATGACTGAAGGGATCACGTTTTAACATCTCCCTGTCTGTGATTGGCTGGTTTTGTGGCACAAATATAACGGTGTACAAAAAGAGTTGAAAGCGCACGGGCAGAAATGTTGAGAGCGCAAGCAGCACATTGCGAGCAAGCGCAAATGCAAAAACTCAGCGAGAGGGGCTGCTATTGTGTGTGTGTGTGTGTGTATGGATAATATCAGACAGTAAAATGCATTTTTTGCACGCAGCAATGAATTTTGTTCACTCAAATTTAGCTTTTCTTGGCTCAAATAAAATTCTTTTTAATTTCTCCTCAAAATGCAAGCTTGCAGAATTTGCAGGTGCAAGTCTAGACTTGCTCTTTACATGCGCTCACTTTTTTTTTTTTAACGTGAGCTCAGAATAGTGGCACAAAAATAACGCTAGAGAATCTCTCCCTCTCTCTCTCTCTCTCTCTCACACACACACACACACACACTCACAAAGGTTTACCTAGCATTTCATCATGTGTCTGGTGTTTTCGTGTTTGTTGTTGTTTTTGGGGTTTTTTTTAAATTTTGTTTTATTTTGCGAGTTGGTTATCAGATGCTGCTCCAGCCAGCCAGAGAATCCACCGCTGCCCCGTCCTCTCCTCCCTGTGCCGCAAGCAGCGGGCGCACCTCGCCCTTACCCCCAGCAAATGAGCGTCAGAAAGCCGATCGGTGCCTGGCATGATGTCGGGGCAGCTAATTTATTTTATTTTATTTATTTTTTTTGCCGATGCCCGCCCACCCGGCATCGTGGTGGCAACCGCCCGTGTCAAAAACCGCTACTAATTAGACCAGGGGTCGGCAACCTGCGGCTCCGCGTGGTTTGGGAAAATAAATTAGAAGTATTTAGCTGAAGTGTATTTTATTTATATTAGTTCTTTTTTTTAACTTGTAGTTCTAAATTATAAGATTGTGATATTGAAATATAAAAATAAAATTACATTCTATTATTTTTTGATCGCTCAAAATAAGCGTCACACTCGCGGAAGCCGGTATACCCGCCGAAACGCCGTGCATTTATCGGGACTTTCAACCCCAAGTAGGCCAATTATGGGTCTTCGGATCCACATTATGTCAGCAGCTATTCTCCACCGTGAACTATGTTAAAATCAAACACCGCTCACCCCTCACATATAACAGCTTATAGTCCTGCATAAAGATGAAAGTGACTTCGTACAGCCCCGATTTGCAGACGCTGTGTGCAAAGGTTCAGGAGCAGAAGTCCCATTATAAAGATATCACGGCAGACCAGACGATGTTTCTTTATAGGCCACTTTTCACACACGGTTGCTGTACGTATACAGCCGGCTGTCGCTTTTCTGCTCACAGCCCGACACATAACAACACAACAGCATAGATAGCACAGACTTTAAGGCGACGACGCGTGATTGCGGGTGCCGCTCAGGTGCGTTCGCCTCCCCTGCAGCGGCGCTGCAGACCACGCCCCGCCACACACATTAACCAGGTAAAATACATATTTAGGCAGAATTTTGAAAATATCTATTTTTCATTTTTTTTAGCAGCATAGTGCTTTTTTTCCCCAGTTATTTTTTTAAAAGTCAGGTCAAGGCTCCAAAAGCACAAAGGCGATATGTGTGTGGCGGCTCACAACAGTTTTTGTTTGCTACATGGATCATTTTTGTTCAGCTGGGTGTCTTTCCTTTTGTTATATTTTTTTTAAGAGTTCAAAATACGTTAATTACATAAAGCAACACACCTTAGTTGTTCACACAAAGCATAAAAGTAAAAAACAATATATACAGTGTTATCTTCATTTTAGATGTCAAAAAGTATTTGCGGCTCCCAGTGTTTTCTTTTCCGTGGAAACCGGGTCCAAATGGCTCTTTGGGTGTTAAAGGTTGCTGACCCCTGGACTAGACCATCGGTGTGCGTGTAGATGCACTGCTTAGCTACAATATGACTGAAGGGATCACGTTTTAACATCTCCCTGTACTCAAAAATATCACGATGTCAAGAGTTGACAAGTAGATTCTTAATAAATTATCTGCTTAGATTGGAAAGTGTCCTTTCACTTTGGAGGTCTTCGCACATAAGGTGAGGAAAGTCTGTCTCACCGGTAACAGTCGTTTCTAGAGGCTGCATCAGTATCTCCTGTGGGCTCTGTCAACAAGCACATATTTCAAGTAGTAGTTTAATCAATAAGAACTGAGTCCGTTTAGAAGAGAGAATCAGTCACACTGCCAGATTTTATTTTTCAACAACAAAATTGATGAGTGGACACGCAAGGCATGCAATAAATCTGGGGTCTAGCTGACGACAAAAGTGTTAAATTGTCCACTGAAAAAAAATGAATTAATTTTCATCAAAAATAATAACAAATCTGGCAATGTGAAATGTAGCATGCACATCAGCTTTTAGAAGAAAAATTCAACCCTACTTACCGCAAGCGAAAACCACCAAAGCTGAAAAATGAGCGAAAAACATTATTATTCAATTTTCTAAAATTGTGATTTAAATTATTCGAAATATATCCCACAATTGTAATAAAAAAAAATATTTAAAAAAACCAAAAAAAAACATACCAAATTGTAGAACCCCAAATAGGAGCATTTTGGACCACTTTAATTGAATCTGATTGCCCTGAAAGTGAAGCAGTGCAGACGGATGAGCCTATATATATCAGCCACACCCACCTGTCCGGTGCCAAGAAGGTGGAGTGCACACACGACTAATGTGCTTGCCTAAAAGTGACAACAACATTGGTTAAGACTTACAAAAAACATTTGTCATGTGGAATGTAGACACCGATTTCCATTCAGATGCAACGTCATTCATTTCATTTTTTCATTTATTTATTCATTTTCAGGCACAACAAATACCTATATTGAACATAAAATACACAAAACAAAAAACAAAACTTGCCTGAAAAAGGAGTGGGACGAAGAAAACTTATTAAATCCCACCCCTATACTCACTCATCAACAAAAAAAAACAATAAACTTCCCGCAGCTACGCCCATCATTGCATACACTCTAAAAAACGATTCATGGGGTTAGTAAGTAAAGCTTAAAATCAATAGCTTTTTCTGCATAAAAAATTAAGTTTGTTGCATGTACACATTGTAATCAGTTGATAACTTAATTTAATGAGTTGGTCGAAATGAAAATAAAGAAAACAGTCTTAGCTCAGTAATATATCGATTTTGAACAGACATTTCTGTGTTAACTTAACATGAAAGTGTATTCAGTTAATACAACTTAAAAATCTCGTAAGCGTCCTTTAAAAGCTGAGTACAAGGCTGACTTGCCCGGACATGCTGCTCTCAGACCACTGATCGAAAGAAACGGAGGGAAAGAGAGAAAGCGGAGAAGCGGCATTTTGTACGGAACATTATCAAACGTTAAAGCTTTGTGGTGAGTACAATTTTTTGCCTTGTTTTATTCACAGCAGCTAATAACTCTAACTTTAACTCTATCAACACGCACTGCAAGAAATCCTTTTTACACAACACTAAACTCTTCCTCGGCGAGTGGTGGTGATAAGCTAGTAACGTTACACTTCTGGCTAACTTGTGAAGTAATTCGACCGTAACATTAGTCTTTGTTAAGTTTTGTTTTACGGTGGCAGCCAAATGGTGTTAATTGACACTGAGCTTCTGTAGCCGTAGTTTTTAACTCTGCAAAGACAGGGTAATACATGTTTTTCTTCTTTCTACTTTGAAATCGTTGCAGCGTTGATGAAGGTTTGACCAGCAAAAGGCTGGACCGTTTTACATTCATGACTAAACAAATGTAGGTTACTGAGTATACATTCGGTTTAACATCGATGCATTTTGATGTTTAAGTCCTAGAGTTATTTTTATGTGAGATTGAAGTTTTTTAATTGAGCCCTAGCTGAAGAACAGCCTGTGTCAAAGTTCAGTCAAAAAACGCGGGCGAGGAAGCGAACGCCATGTTGTAGAAACGCCACACGAAAGAGCTTAAGTAACATTCATAAACTAGTTGTTTTAATGACATTACATTGAGTGTGCATTAGCACATAAAATATAATTTTGCTCTTTTGGGTGTTAACTGCAGATACATAAGCGCAGTTGTATCACTTAAGAAAAAATATCTTTGATTTGGAAACATAAAGCAACTTTTAGGAGAAACTCAACACTAAAAATAATATACATAGTTTTAACTTTTAATGTCATAAGGATTTCCTGTGAGATAATGATTAGACTAAAGACTATAGTTAAAAAAGCGTGAATATTGATTGCGTGTAGTTCGCCCATTTCTTTGCAGTAGTTTACAAGCATTTTTCTTGTTTTTCATCTTGAATATTCAAAAACAATGAATTAAAATTTACTGTAATGCTGATGTAGCACAAGTTGTTTGTACTACAGCCTTCTGAATCACCCAAGTTAAAGTAATTTAAACTGTTTGTTTTTAAAATGAAGTGGATCTGTAAAATTTGCAAATTTGAAACACCAAGAAAGACAGATCTCTTAAAGCATTATAGATTAAGACATGGTCATGGTGGAGAATTTCACCCTTGTCTTTATTGGGAGTGTTATTGCTCATTTAAAACATGGGGCAGCCTGCGAACCCATCTGTCAAGAACTCACTCGACCCGTGAGTCAGTGACACTGTCCACTGTACTGTCATTTAAATGTCCATGTTGTTCTTTAAACACTATCTCCACAGAAAGAGAATACTTTGAGCATATTGGTCGTCATTTAAAGAAACTGGAAACTGTGTCTTGTGTTTTTGAAAATTGTCCTTTCAAAACAAACATTCATGGAACATTTGCCTCTCATAGGAGCCGGAAACACACTCCTCATACACTTGATGACTTCAAGCCTGAGCTTTTGCAGAGGTGTGTCAATCCTCTAAATGCAGGGGATGATCCTGTGGATGAAGACGATACTGAAGGTGCAGTGAGTGAAGACCCTGAAGGTAATGAAATAAGAGAATTGCCGAATTTAATAGAAAAACATGTAGCCCATGTGCTGCTTAAGTTGGAAAGCATATTCAATGTACCACAACGGTGTATTGATGAGTTAGTTGAAGAGCTACACTTTATCTCCTCATCAGCTTCAGGTCCTATTTTAAAAGAGATTTTACAGTCATGCTTAAAAAAGCATAATTGTGAAGTTGATGATTTGATCATCTCTGAGATGGTAACAGACCTATGTGAGTGCAACCCAATTACATTAGCCCTAGGGCGTAATGGTCCTCTTTCCACCTCCTACAAAAGAAGAGAATATTTCAAGGAGCATTTTTCCGTGGTGGAACCCATAGAATATATGCTCAGTGCCAGGGAGCAGAGAAGTTTTCAATATGTACCTATTTTGAAGTCTTTGCATGAGGTTTTGAAGAAAAAAGAGATCCAGGATTTGCTCACATCTAGTAATGAAGCAGACAGCAGTTCCGAAAGTCAATACAAATCATTTCAGGATGGCACACATTTTAAAAACAATACATTGCTGTCAGAAAACAATCCAGCTATTTCTCTTATTCTGTATGTGGATGATTTTGAAGTGTGTAATCCACTTGGCACTTCAAGAAAAAAGCACAAAATTACTGCTGTGTATTGGGTTTTAGCAAATGTGCCACCATTGCTCAGATCATCACTAACATCGATATACCTTGCCATTCTCTGCAAGGCTGATGATATCAAAAAGTTTGGCTATAGTGCTGTGTTTGAGCCAATGCTAAAAGATCTTGCCAGCCTTGAAGAAGAAGGACTTTACATTCCTTCATTAGACATTCGAGTCAAAGGTACTGTGTATTGTGTTGTTGCAGATAACCTTGGCGCCCACTCTATCGGAGGATTTGTGGAGAGCTTCTCAAGTACACACGTCTGCAGGTTCTGTCTTGGAGAAAGATCCCAATTCCAAGTAAGTGAAGTTAGAACTGGAGCATTTAAGCCTAGGACAATACAAGAGCACAAGGCTCATGTTCAGACAGCACAGGGACATAATCATTGTTATGGAGTAAAGAGACAGTGCCCACTGACTGAAAGACTAAAACATTTTGATGTTTTATCTGGCTACCCACCTGATTTGCTCCACGACCTCTTTGAAGGTATTGTACCTTTCGAGTTAGCACTGTGCTTAAATGCCTTAATCAAAAAAAAATATTTCGCACTTGATGAACTAAATAAATTGATCAAAGAGTTCCCATACAGATGGGCAGATAAATCTGATTCACCACAAGCAGTTCCACTGGCTTTTGCTACAAGAAAGACTGTCGCTGGAAATGCCCATGAGAATTGGGCTTTGCTTCGCCTCCTTCCCCTGATAGTTGGAGAAAGAATACCAGAGAGTGAACCAACGTGGCTGGTCATCCTGAACCTGAAGGACATAGTTGAACTTGTCCTTTCTCCTGTGCATACAGACCTAACTATTTGTTTCCTTGAAAGCAAGATTTCTGAGCATCGACACAGATTCCTGGAGACTTTCCCTCAGGAAAGACTTATTCCAAAGCATCATTTTCTAGAGCACTACCCACAGCTAATAAAGGCTTTTGGTCCCCTTGTATCTCTTTGGACTATGCGCTTTGAAGCTAAACACAGCTTTTTCAAGCGTGTGGTCAGGCATACCCACAGCTTCCGAAACATTCTGTTGTCTCTTGCAGTGAAGCATCAGTTCATGGTTGCACACCATCTACATGGTGGTGCAGTTGTTCCACCATCTCTGCAGGCAACAAAACTGTCAATAGTGGATTTGACTGTGCTGAGGGAAGACATAAAAAAAGCACTGCAAGTAAAATTCCCCAGCGAGTCGTTTGTCCAGATGGCAACTACAGTGTGTTGCAGTGGCACCAGTTACTCCACTGGAATGATCTTGGCACATGGCTCAACAGGTTGCCTTCCAGATTTTGTGGAGTTGATTCAGATAGCTGTTGTCAACGGAAAGGTTTGCTTTATTGTGAAATGTTTAAATGCATGGTATATTGAACATCTTAGAAGCTATGAACTCGAAAACACAAGAAGTGTTAAGGTGATTGAGCTGAGTGAGTTGTCTGACATCTTCCCAATGGCAGCATACACTGTTGCAGGGAAGCGTATTGTTACCCAGAAGCGTTACATTTATGTCCATGTGTAGTGGTCATTAACAGTTTCTCATTTGTTTGACTTTACACACCAGGCAGTTCTGGGATAAAATGCATAACCAAAAATACTCTTTATAGGTGAGGTCATGATTTCATGAAGAAAACAAAAAGGCTGTTTACATTAACGTATGTATCTCAAACTTAAGTTAATCATTTTCACCTGGCCTTGCACCATCTGATGTGTGAAAGATTTGATTTGCTGGCTAATATGTTTACCTTGTATAAGTGTTTTGTTTTTTACAGTTCAAGTGAGAATGTTATATCTACCATCAGACATTGGACAATAATAATAATAATAATAAAAAAGCCTGGAACGCCTTTTAATCTCAGATCATGCCATTTCTTAGAGCAAAAAGAGATGAATCTCTTGACTCCCACTAGTATGCAGAAACAAAAAAGTAAATCTGAGTAGTAGTTGTAAATATGACTGGCATATAACTGAAAATGTTATGGTTGTAGCTTTTATGTGACATGTGACATTACTTTCAGCTACTGTAATTTTGTGATCTTTGTAGTTTTGCATTTATTACATTATGCTTCAATGGAAAAATGGAAAATATTAAGAAGATGAAAAAAGACTCCTGTTATTTTCCATAGAAATAAATGTTTCAAACATTTAGTCAAACTAAAAGCAGGTATATAAATGGGCACTCAGTTTCGCAGTAGTCAATTTTGACAAAAAGCATATATAAAATGTCACAGTGTAATGTGAAAGCTAATGATTAGAGACGTAATCACTACCTTAGTTCCTTTCTGCATGCAAGCTAATATCTCAAAGGTGATGAAAAGTCCTTAGCTTATCAAAGGTAATATTTACCTCTGATACTTAATGTCTTAAGGTTGACACTGGATGTATTCTATAAATCAAACTGAAGCGTGTGGTTTCTCTTACAGACGCTCCAATGTCTCATCAAACCAAACTTAGGATCGTTCTTCAGGACCATGACATTCGCAAACTTGACTTACCTCATGGCCTCCCTGGGACTGTGGGTGACCTTGAGTCCATTGTAAGAGAGACATTTGGGCTTCAAGGGAATTTTACTTTGCATTACAAGGATGCTGATTTTGGAGAGGAATATTTCAGTCTTACCTCAACAAGTGACATCAAGGACAAGGACACAATAAAAGTGGTTAACATTGTTGAACCTCCCACATTTACTCTGAACTTAACTGAAGTGAACACTTCCTTTGAAAGTGAATCAGAAACCTCCATCTATAGCTCAGCAACCTCAGTCAGTACTTCAGTGACCGCCGTCGGTCCTCCCCAAAGCAGTTGCTCATCCGGATCCCAGGATACACTGATTCTATCATCACCTGAACATGGGATTCAGCGATCACAGCGGTGGCCGGCTGAATTTCCTGTACCTCGCTTTGCCTATGACACAGAGCTTTTGCTTGCCTCAGGAAATGAAGCTTTCAAGAAGGATGGAATTCCACTCAACTTTACCTCAATCCTTCCAGACATCCTTGAGAGACTGGCTGAAAGCGTCTTTCAGTATGTTGCCTACCCAACAAGCGCACAGTTTGTGGATGTTGCTGAGGCGCTGATTCAGAAGCATCCTTGCCTTAAAGAACCAGGGTCATATAATGGATGCTATGGATGGCAACAGAGACTAAAATATAAAATGGGCAACTATAGAACCAAGTTGAGAGGGCTCGGATGCCCTGAACTTGATGTGAACTCTCTCAGAAAGAAGCGACTACATGAGAAAGCACCTGCAAAGAATGTCAAAAAGCCAAAAAAGTCAGAAGTGAACTATTTACCTCCTCACCCACAAGGAGAAACGGAAGAAAGTTTGGAATATGGAAGAGTGGAGCTCCTCAGTGAAGTGAGGAAGAGGGACAACTGTCAGATCATCAGTGACAAAATGGCGAAGACATTCTCCATTCGCAGGCAGGAAGTTGTCAATCAAGCACCAAAAATCAATGACCTGAAAGAAAGATGGCCTGCTCTTTTTGATGCAGTTCAGGTAAATATTTTTCCATAAGATAATTTGCAGTATGTATTCTTTTAAAGTAAATTGTATACATTAACATGTTGTGCCTATTTGTGCCTTTTTTTTTATACAGATAAACCAAGAATTCAGAAGGATCACCACTGTTAACCTGGAGACAACATTCATGGCAAAGCTGGACCAGTACTCTCAGAAAATAATGTCCTTGCTGTCCTCAAGAGGAGGGGCTGCAAAAATGCGCATTCGGCGCATCCAGAACATGCTGCTAGAGGTATGAATGAATGAAATGTAGTTTATTTCAAATAGGATAATCCACTTTTTTTTTTCCAATAGGTGATATTGAGTCTTAAAAGGTAGCTGTTTACAACTCAACTATGTCAAATTATTGTTTAGAGCTTGAGGCACAAATATCAATTAAAACTATAAATACTTAATAATAAAACAAATTATAGGTGATGTGGATCATGATTGGCAGAGTAATTTGCAAGATTTTGCAGTTTTTCTATTTGTTACCTGGATTTTTCAAGTTCATGAATTGATCATTTCAGAGAAATGGCTCTTTGAAATGATCAATTCATTATTTTGATTATCACTGGAAATCTATAATTGGTACAGTTCAGGCCATATAAAGTCAATCCTTTTTTTTTTTTTGGATGTAATTATCAAAAACCCATCCTCCTCGAAGAGCAGTTCGACATTCTTTTTCTTATTCACAGGACGATTCTGTGGAGAGAAGGCGAGAGGTCGCTATCCGTGGCTTAGTGGTGTATCTCAGGGAAAAGGAGGAGGATCTCTTCAAAGAGCAGGTAAATCAGACATGACTATACTTTGTATTAGAGATACGATCTAATCTATTATTAATTGATTTCTAAATTAATCGGCAACTATTTTGATAATTGATTGATCGGTTTGAGTAATTATTTTAGAAAAAGAAGTCCAAATTCTCTGGTTTCAGCTTCATAAATGTGAATGGTTTGGGGTTTCTTTACTCCTCTATGACAGCAAACTGAATATGTTTGACATTTGAGGTCATCATATTGGGCTCTGAGAAACATTGACATTTTTCACCATTTTCTGACATTTTCTGGACCAAACAACTAATCAGATAATCGAGAAAATTGTTAGTTGCAGCCCTATTTTGTGTTACTCTCATGTATAAGTATGATTACTTAAAACATTTATATTGATTCTGACCTACCAGGATGGTGGCGGCGATATTACCAATGAAGTGATGAAGATTGTAACCAGAGGTGCCACAACGTCTGATCCAGCCAGCGCACGGATCATACTTGAAGGAACAGAAGTCCTAGCAGACCTGGATGTACCCAGAGCCTGTGCCTTGCTAATGGGGCTGATATATGCACTCAACCTCAGCTACCCAAAAGAACTGAAAAACACTTTTGAAGTGTTTCAAAAGATATTCCTCGAGCTGGATGATCTGAAAGCCAGTCCTAAGGTAATGTCACTAAAAAGTAAACTGTTGTACTAAAAAATGTGAAGAGTGAGGCTATCCTCAAATTAAACGGGAAATGTTCCACTGTTGTTTGCAATGTGTTGTGTTACATACTGTACAGTAGGCAGTAGGTGTAAAGTTGAGCGTTGAGCATTAAGTACACCTAGTTCAAAATAATGCACTTTAAAAGGATTGCTCGGGTCTTTTGAAGTGAGGCTGTATGAGGTACATATGTATAGTGAGTGTATTACACACAGTAGATGGCAGTCAGTAAGCTCCACCTACGGAGAAGCAGAGATGAGCCTCCATCCTAATAAAACTGATGTCAGTTTAAATGTACATTATATCAAGAATATGTTTACTGCTTTATTATGCTATCAGACAGCCTTTTCTGTGGGGAAAGAGAAGTTCTACTGCTTGTTGTTTCAATCGCTCTGGCCCACCAGCGTCCATGGACAAAAACAGCAATTTTACCTGACAGCACACAGGAGTTGCTGGTCTCCTGCTGCCTTGATCAGTAAGTGTAATTGTGTTATTTGGGGACTTTGGTGTTAGTTCGGGTTAGTTCAGATTTACCAAAGTCACACAAACAAACTGAGCCTATCGTGCGTGTCGGTGGCAGGAATGTGCTGACTGCTGTCTACTGTGTGTAATATACTCACAATGTACTTCATACTTAAAAAAACCCTAAACTATCACTTTAACACAAACAAACTTGAATCAGAGCATGACTGTCAAAATGTTCAGTCTTTTTGAGACAGATTTACAGGGGTGTTTTATGTCATTTATTTTATGGAGGCAACAATTTTGTCTGCTATTGAAATGTCAATGAGTCTGGAATGGTGGACTGGTGTTCTAATAAACAGTTTGATCATAAAACTGGAATTTCAATGTGTAATTTATTGTATAATTGTAAGTTATAAGTTATTGTAAGTTATTAGTACTCAAAAAAATTAAGGTAACAATTTGCATGGATATTTCTGAGTAGAATAAAAGTAAAAAAATAAGTTTTAATAACTAAATGGAGTAATTTTTAAACAATTAAAATTAAGTTGGTTCAACTTAATTAAGCTTGTAGAGGACAAAGCAAATCATGTTGTTTGTACGTAAGGAACAGAGTTTGCCTAACTAGAGAACTCTTGTGGCATTTACGCTATAGTGGCTAAGCTGAAGTAACTTAAAAAGATCCATGCAAATTGTTACCTTAATTTTTTTAAGTTAAGCCAGCAGATCTTTTTTTAGAGTGTACAGACCCATCAACAGCCCCGGGCAGATACAAGCATCTAAGCGGCAGCTCGCAACCAACAATTAGAGCCTTCATAACTGAATACAGAATATATAAATTATAAATTGCATTACCACAGGTAACAGGCAGTAATAACTACAAGTAACAGACACACATACATATACATACATATATATCTACACACACAAGTACATATATGTACATACATACGCACACTTTATTTTTTATTTTTTATTTTGGAATCCATACCAGCAATGGTAAGAGGACAGACATTACAGAGCACACTAAAACCCATCATTGAGTATACTGTGTGACCAGACCAACTGTTTGTAGAGAAATTTAAATCTATGAATATTTTTGCATTGTTTCAATTGTAAACTCAGACTGTTCCAGATTTTCACACCACATACAGACACGCAAAAACCTTTACGGGTTGTTCGAGTTCTGGGTAATTTGAATTCTCCAAAGCCTCTCACATTATAAACCTTTTCTCGAATTTCAAATCTAGTTTGTAAATTTGCCGGTAAAAGTTTAGTAAAAGCTTTATACAAAATTATGGATGTATTGTAATTAACCAGATCCTGGAATTTAAGTAACTTTGCCTGAAGAAAGAATTTGTGAGTATGATCTAGATAACCAGCCTTGTGAATAATACGCAGTGCTCGTTTCTGTACTGTGACTAATGGATTAGTTGTATTTTTATATGTATTTCCCCACACTTCCACACAATATGTAAGATATGGAAGAACCAGGGTACAGTACAGAGTACGAAGTGCATCTTTATCAAGGAATTGTTTCACTTTGTTCAAAACTGCGAGGCTTCTGGAAATTTTGGTTTTTATGTGTCTGACGTGGGGTTTCCATGAAATTTTGTTATCAATTATAACTCCCAAAAATTTGTTTTCACTCACATTATCAATTGGTACACCTTCAATGATAATTGGTAATTCTATATTATATTTTAAATTACCAAAAAACATTGCTTTAGTTTTATTTATATTTAATGATAATTTATTTATGTCCATCCATTTTTTTATTAATTTTAGCTCCCTGTTTACAGTCATTACAAGATCAGTATAATCATCGCTACTGAAAAATATGTTGGTGTCATCTGCGAACAGTATGAGTTTAAGTACTTGAGAAACATCAAAAATATCATTTATGTATACATTGAAAAGTTTTGGTCCCAACACTGACCCTTGGGGAACACCACATGTAATACCAAGTTTCTCTGAATGGTAATGCCCTATGCTAACATATTGTTCCCGACCTGTTAGGTAACTTTTTAACCAGTTACCAGCTTTCCCTCGAATACCATATCTTTCCAATTTATCCAGTAAAATTGAGTAATAGAACTCAAGCTGGATCCGTAAATTCCAGCACTATTTTCATGCCTTGAATCGTTATCTCCTACCGAGATGAAGATTATGAACAAGATTATGAACCTCGTCTTTCTTTTGTTATTGTTGGATTCAAAAGTAATGTAATTCTTATTTTTGGCGGAACGCTTTTGTATTTGTGAAAAGATCGTTATTCATGCAACTTGGTACATGTTTTGGTATACTGCAATATTTTTCTTTTTATATCTCAGGTGATACTTTATCTCCTGAGAACTACCCAAAGTCTTGACAAATGATGCAAGAATTGCACCTGACGCCTATACGCAACCGTCTCGACAGAGTTGCTCAAGATAGACATAGATCACATGACGAAGGAGAAATTTGTGTTCCAGTTGCAGTTATGTGCGCTCTAGTATAGCCTACTTGGTCGTGTTCATGCTGACACACTTGCCTAAGAAGGTGCGTCATACGTCTTTACTCTAATAATGCAATTCATCACGAAACGCATTTAAGACAAAATACATTCAACATCTGTTTGGAGCAGTGAATCGGCTAAAAATAATCAAAACAAAACACCGAAGCAAAAATGCAAATACCAGGTTTACACGTTTGTCCTAAAAACACATTCCTTATTCTTTATTCACCGTTTGCTGTATATCTGTGTGTTTCCGTGTTTAAAACACCCTGGCTGATTGGCGGTTGGTGAGAGAGAACACCTGGATGTGGAAAGAAAGTGAACGTCACAAGCTTCATCTACACTGCCATTATTCCGGGAAATCGCTAGACAAGTCCTGCAGCATTGGAGAACTCTAATTTCTTGTTTGTTTTTTTGTTTTTTTGGGGGGGATAAATAAACATATGACCCCTCTATGAGCAAGCACTTTTAAAGCATGTTGTCTGTGTGACACACTACTAAAAATATAGAAAAAGTACTTTGTTGAGACGTAATAGTTTAACAACAAAAATATAGATATTTTGTCATATGTCCATGTGCCCAAGGTACTAACTAGCTAGCTAACTGGATGCCCATTAACCTTATAACTCCTGGTGTGTGTGTGTGTGTGTGTGTGTGTGTGTGGTGTGTGTGTGTGTGTGTGTGTGTGTGTGTGTGTACAGAGAGACAGCCAGGTTCATAATGGATATAAGGAAGTATTTTTTTTAAAAAGGAGCCACATTCAGGTGAAAGTGTAAGATCAAATGATCCGTCAATCAAGAATAATGTTGGATCAGTGTTTCAATATTTATAGCTTTTATTAGATATACCTGTGGTTTGGTTACTTGCGTTTTGGTTGAAAGTACACTGAGAGAGGACTTTTTATTAGCGATCTTAATAATATTTTTTTCATATTAATGTAATTTTTTCATCTAATTGAATACAATCTATTTGTGTATGACTGTCAGTCCAAAAAGGGAGAGAGGAAAGAGGGGAACGTGAGAAAGTACAAGGTCAGGAAGAACCAGGTAAGAAAACAGGCAGGAATAGTGACAGGCAAAACAGAAACTAGTCTAAGGCACTTGGAAAGAAAAGCATACAATCTGGAAGTTGTGTTCTCCCTATGTTAAAGCTGCTATACAGAATCTGCAAAACAAACTGGATTGAAACATTTTTTTGACGCTCTTTAATAACATTCCAACATAACATTATCATTGGGGAGAATAAAATTAATGATATATTTTTTGGGGTTCAGCCACAACTCTACTAAAACCTCATTCAATAATAGGTAGGCCAAATTTTGGACCATCTAGTTGTCTGTATGTCTCCTGCAGTACATGCACCACATTTGTGCATTAGAAAGTGCCAAACAGTGCCCTGGTGGAGTGAGAGCTGTAAAGAGAAGCAGATGCTCTGTTTATATTCTACAAATGTTTTAAGCTAGCTTGTTTCAAAGATTCTGTTCCGCTTTAAATGTTTTCCAAAAGCACACATACCCTTACCTTTTCAATGTTTCTCAGAGATTTTACAGTGTGTACCACCTGGGAGAAAGCATGAAAAGTCATACATCTTGGGATACATCTTAGAACACTTACTCATACATCTTACAACACAAAATTCCAATCTGTTTCTAAAATGAAAAGTCACATAGGTTAAAATAAAAGAAAAAATCTGCAGAGCCATAGTAGTATCTGCAGTAAAGATCTTTTCATACATTGTATACACTGGACTATAGACAAAGTTGCCTCAATTTTTATAAAAAAAAAAAAATATACACACACACACACACACACACACACACACACACATATATATATATATATATATATATATATATATATGTATATAGAAAGGAATTGGCAAGAATACCAGAGGCGCAAAACACCAGCTACTGGTAGACAGAACAATCAGCCGAGACTGCAAGACCAGACTGACAAACCTGTGCACTGCCTGGGTTGATTACAAGAAGGCCTATGACTCAATCCCCCACAGCTGGATACTGGAATGCCTAGAATTGTACAAGATCAATGGGACCCTAAGAGCCTTCATCAGGAACTCAATGAGGATGTGGCGTACAACACTAGAGGCCAACTCCAAGCCCATAGCACAAGTCACCATCAAGTGCGGGATCTACCAAGGAGATGCTCTGTCCCCACTGCTGTTCTGCATAGGCCTGAACCCCCTCAGTGAGATCATTAACAAGACTGGCTACGGATACCGACTACGG